GGAGTTTCCCATCCCAGCGTCCTTGTTTCGCCGCGTTCGGCGGATCAATCTCCGCTCGCCCGAAAACAATTCTTCAATCGATCGGCGAGAATGCCCCCGCTCGCCCGAAATAATATCCTCGCTCGGTCTGCGCGGAATTTACCGGTCTGCCAGGCAACATGTCTCCGCCCGCTCGTCGACATTTCCCCGCTCCTTTGGCTTGTCGACCTGCACGTGCCTGGCTGGTGGCGTGCGCAGGCGTTCTTGCGGACATAGGCCCTGCCCCCCTTCTCCTGGCGTTTCGTGCCTGCAGAAGGGCGGATAGAAAACCCGCCTCCTGCATGCCCACAGGTCGACCCAGTAGGGAAGGGGATAGGGCCCCCCCTGCGCCCGGGGGGGGGGGCGCCGCGTGAACCCCGCCCACCCTGACGCTCCTTGTTTTTAGGAAGACTACACGGGCTTCCAGCGAAAACGAAGGAGGAACAAAATATGGAAAATGGAGTGACCGACGGTGGAGAATCAGGGCGTGCACCACTGGGAAGCGGCCTGCCAGACGTGGCCCTGGCCCCAGTCTGGAGCAACGTTAGGGGGGGATGGGCTCAAGGTCGGGTGTTGCCAGAGGTGTCCTTGGCCCACAATGTCCCCATGATTTCCAGGCAGGTTTTTGGGCCTCCCAAGCATTCCCATTGGCAAGGTCCAGAGGAGGACCCCGCGAGGGGGGCAAAATGGTCAGAATAACCGGGACTATTTCTGGCCAGGACCATCTTGGCCCTCCCCCAGAAATCGTCACTTGGGCGCCCCATGCGCCACCTGCCGGCCGCGGCAGGCGCGCTGTGTTGCTGCTGCCCCCCGCGCTCCGAGAGCGACGTGGAGGCGCCCCTCGTCGCGAGCCCCGGCGTCCACATCGGCAAGAGGCCCCCCCCCGTCTGCGCCGCAACCATCGTTGCCGCCGTCGTCGCCTGCCTTCGCCCCCGTCGCAAGGGTGTCCGCGGTTCGGGTCCTGTTCGGCTGCGTTGCTGTCGGCTGCGTTCGGTCGGTTCGGCTCGGTCGGTTGTTGTTCTGTCCAGTAGCCTGTTGGTTTCAGTCGGTTTCAGTTTCGCTGTCGGTTCGGTAGGTTTTCGATTGTGCTGTCGCCGTGAACGCCCTCGAGTGCGCCCACTGTGCCCCAGACCTCCGGCGCAGCGCCGTGAACAAGCATCAACACTGGAGGTCTTTCGCCGCCGTCGGTCGCCCGGGGGGGAGCCTCGCCAGGCCACAGGTTTCTTTGGTTGGGTATTCATTTTGGAGAGAGCACTGCGGCTCCCCTCGACAGGGCCCGAAGGGCAGCTCGAAGAGAACCCGAGGCAGTCGCCGAGGAGGCTGCACGAGAGTCCCACGAGGATCCCCAGATGCCCCAGGTCTTCGAGACCTTACGGCTGGTTTCGCCGACCCTGAGGGAGGGTTAGGAGGCGCCAGGGCCGAGAGGGAGCCGAGGAGCACACGAAGGCAGGCCGACGATTATCCCACAGTGGTTTGAATATCACCTCGAGGCTGGAGAAGAGACAGAACACCTTGCCACCTCAATCGACAGTCGTACCCTGCCTCTTGGAACCTCCCCTGCGGTCATAAGTTTGACCAGAATCAGTCGAAGTTGATTATTGTTTCATATGCTTCCCCAGTCGTTGTGGACCCCCTTTGTATACACTCGGAATATATATATATATATATATATATATATATATATACAAGACTGTAGTGGCGCTTCGCGCCATGCACCTTGGTCGTTGAAGTTGAAGTTTGTTATGCAGGCGGAATAGCAGGAAGGTCAAGCCGACAATTTAGCGATAACTCCTGGTTGCCTTTCCCGGCATCGCCGCTATAATGATGTTATTCGTTATCCTTCCTCCATGCTTCTTTTTCCTTATTTTCGCCATACCTTGCGGATTCTCCCCATCCTCCCCAGCTCTTTTTTGCGGAGGCTCCTCCTTGGAGAGCCTCTAGGGGCGTCACAAAAGTTGTTTCAGGCTTTCTTAAGGCCTTCTGGATGCCTCCTGGGCGTATTCTGGGGGCCTCCGGGGGCTCCCTCGGGCCACCCTGGTTCCAACCACGGTCTCCCCAAACGACCGAATCACGATTTGCAATTCTTCGGAGGGTGTCTTTGGACCATCTTGGGCCGCCATGGGGCTCTCTGAGGGCTATCTTGGACCCGTGTTTCTGTCGTTTTGGGGCTTTCTTGGACTGCCTGAGATGGTTGTGGGGCGATTTTGGAGCCTCCCAGGCGGCTTCGGACGCCCAGAAGACCGCCGTCTTGGAGCGTCGGGAAGCTGAAAAGAGGAGAACCCCAAAATTCACCAAACAACCACAGAAAATCTATGACTTTTGCCTTCTTGGGAGTGCTCTCGGAGGCCTCTTTGGGGCCGTCCTGGAGGCCTCTTGGGCCATCTTGAGGTCACGTCGGTCACTCTTGGAGCGCTCTTGTGCTGTCTTGGGGGTCTTTGGGACGTCTCCGATGACCCCCCTGATCGCCCTAAGTGTGCTGGGAAGGCTTGGCAAAACGCCTTGCGAGGCCCAGTGGCCGCTTCGAGGCCCGTCCGGAGGGCCCCAAAGCCCCAGGTCCCGGGAGTCCGGTTTTGGGGGGGGGGGGGGATGGGTTTTCCCCCCGCCGGG